CAGGGAGAAAACTGAACAGTGTGTCATCAGTGCTCTCAACGAAAGACTAAACATGCTTTGTGCAGCCCTGAGCTTCTGGGTGCCTGGCCATGGGGTGCACTGGTGAGCTAAATTCAGACCTTGACAGTAGGTGTTTATGATGAAAGTGATACTGATACATTTAGATTTACATAAAACTTTCATTTAACAAAGATCACGATCATGATGCTTTTCTCAGCAGAAAATTCAGAAAAAGGCAAAGGCTACCTTAACTAAATATTTTTAAATCATAAGACAACCCTTTTCTACTTGTCACAGACCTGTTCTTTATGACAAACTACTCTTAAGTTGGCTGTTCATCTACTCATTAGTTAACTTTGCAAATACTATCTTTTGAGAATTGTGTGTCGGCTCACTTTCAACACATGTTCTTAAGAAGACTGAAGGTATAGTGCTGGGACAAGTGTGGCAATTACCTTAAAAACATGATTTTCAAATGCAACTTCAGGTAATGAATTTGGTTGTGTTTCTCAAGTATAAAGCCATTGAAAAATGCATTCTTTTTTAGTGTGTGTACCTCCAGAATATTATTTGGTGAATCACTAAGCCCAAATACAAATGTAAAATTTCACACATAAGAAGTGTAAGAGGCCTTAATGATAATTTCAGTCCAATCCTTCATGGACTGAAGCCTAGGGAGGGACGATGACTTGCCTAACATTACATTTTACCCTGTGATTTAAAATATTTTCTTCACTTCACAGTTTAGGAGGGACTTTGTTCATTTTATTATTTCTACTTTTATTTTTTTGTAGAGACAGGGTCTCACTATGTTGCCCAGGCTGGTTTCAAACTCCTGGCCTGAAGTAATCCTCCTGCCTTGGCCCCCCAAAGTGCTGAGATTACATATGTGAACTTCCATGCCCAGCCACTTTGTTCATTTTAAATATGACGCATAGTTGTATTTTATGCACTGAGTTTATAGCCTGGTCTTGAAAATAGCCAGTCAGTTGGCTCAAAAGAATGATGATAATGGTAAGCCTATGGAGGGAAGGCTGATTTCTCTTCACTGTTAGGAATGTCAATATTGGGTAAACAGAGAAAAGTGTGAAAATGATGACTATGAGTGTCAACCAGCAGGTTGTACCTAAGGGCTAAATATTGGGAGATTTAGGGAACTTTCTCTGGATATTGGTGCTGTCTGCAGGCCTGTCTCTTGACAGTCTCAGTATTTCCTGCCCCACATACCCACAAGGAAAAAGAATGCTGCCAGCCATAAATGTGGATACCTGTAATTATCTGAAACCATGTTAGGAGACTAACTTAGACCCCCCACTGATGTCCTCATAATGTGAGGAAGTCTAAATTTCCTGCAGAGGCTGAAATTTTAGTTTGTGAACCAAAGCTCAGTTATGTACGCAGAAAAAACCCCCAACCAAGATCGTACTTTTCTACTTGGTTTAGTCAGGCTTTGGGGCTTTTATGTGTTTTAGCTTATTTACTCTAAAGGCTAATAATGCTCACTCTGTTTAGTTTCCAGAAATAATGATAGGGATAAAATTATTTCTTTTATATCAAGAGGCAAAATTGTGTTGAGATACTTGGCTGAAAGGTTTTTTTTTTTTTAATAGTTTGAATTTTTGTTTTATTATAATAGTATTTGGTTTTTATTTGACCAAATTTTGATTGTATAACTAGGCCTTGCTTATTAGAAATAAGTTATTACATTTTTATGTCCACTGATTTACAGGCAATTCGATCACAAATGAAACTGGATGATTAATTTTACATAGCAAGAATTCTGCTTTCTGAGTCAGTGAGGTTTAATATTAACAAATGTTTTTTCAGTTTAGGGTTCTATATGATGATCATGCTCTCTAGGGTAAAAAGTGTGGAAAAAGGTGGCTGGCCTTGAGAAATATACAATTGCTGTGCTGGTTCTTTCAGAGTTGAAATGGAGTAACAAAATCAGAAATCACCCAACGGTTTCTAATTTCAAAGACAGACTGTCTGACCTTGCCTACATAGTTCAGGTAAAAACCAAGAAGGAACACGGAGAAGGAAATTGAGTTCCCGTCCAGGTGACATACAACCACAACCACATCCAGTAATACATCTGGAATTACAACATGGGCCATTCACCCTAGGGCACAACAAGCTCTTACCTAGAAATGTGTTTCTTCTGTATTTTTATTCTTATTTGAAAAAGTTCTGATTAAACCCCTACACTACACACACACACACACACTCTCTCTCACACACACGCGCACGCACACACACACACACAACTTGCCATCCCCATCCCTATTCATTCTTGAAGCTCTATCTTCCTGAACTAGAGCATGCAATGTAACTTAAGAAAAAAGAATTATTTCTAATATACATTCAATTATTTGGCTATTTTTAAACATGTCTTCTCTTGGAGCCATTAAGGGGACTTTCCAGGTACCTCAAAATATCAGTGTTTTGAATTTTTCCTCCATGTTTCACACTCCAGATGAAGGAAAGCTATGCAGGTTAAGGTGCGCCAGGGTGTCGGGCACTGTCAGATGTATCAGCAATCACTTCCCAGCTGCCTCTTTCACTGGATGATTTTTCATCCTCAAAGTAGTAATTTTTGTGCCCTGGCTGGCCCTTCTGTTGGCAAGGAAGCTTAGGTGGCTTAGGTGACCTGTTCAGTCTGCTGGATGGAAATTTGGGGGTATGTGTTTGAAGTTATATAAAATTAAACAGCAGCAATTTAACTGCGCATATTTGTATTTAGAGGTGAAATGGCTTCAGTTAATGGCTGGGAAAAGGAATTGGAAGTGTGATTGTGTGTTGTGACCACAGGCATGCTTTGGCTCCCAATGTGGTAAAATAGGATTCAGAGCATTCCAGGTTGATTTGTAATGTTGACCTCACAAGGAAATCATTGCCTGGGAATATTTTTGTTTGCTCGATTAAGGGAGGTTCCTAGTTCTATAACAATTGGTGTGTCAGTTTTGAGAAGCTCAATATGCCAGGTTTTTTGTTGTTGTTGTTGTTGTTGTTTGTTTTGCCTTTGCTGCTGCTGCTGCTGCTGCTTCTTCTTCTTTTCTTCTTCTTCTTCTTCTTCTCCTCCTTCCTTCCTTCCTTCCTTCCTTCCTTCCTTCCTTCCTTCCTTCTTCTTTTTTGCAAGTGACTCTTTAAAATGTAGTATTTAAGGGAGGGAAAATATTAAACATTGAGATCTCTTAATTCAGAAAAGATGGCCAAACCATTTTCAGCACAAAGAGAAATGGGAAGCACAAGGGTCTTGATCATTTGAGCAAGACGTCATGATGTGGCAGCCAGCCTCCGAACTCAGATCTGGATCACTTTCTAGCTGTATCATGTGAAGTAGAATTTCACTAGCCTGAGCCTCGGTTTCCCAGCCTGTAAATTTAGCATTTTTAGGCTGAGAGAGAGATGACAAATGTAAAAGATCTGGGACAATTCTTGTGCCCAGAGAAAGCCTTCTGTAAATGGTGGTGGTTAGAGGCATCTTGCACAGTTACGGTTTCACTTGTTAGTAGGTTCCTGGTATTTGAGGTACAGCATTTAGAATCAGGGGCAGTAGAATCAAACTTTGTAGCTATTGGTATCTACAGGCTCAGGGGTGGGCTAAGCCTCTGAGCAGAGCTGTGGTTGCAACCTCACTCCCGTGCCTCCCTACCTCTCTCTCACCTCTCCCCTGCCCGGAGGGTCCTCCTTTACTTCACAGACACAGCCCAGCCTTGGTGCAGCTCCTCCAGGAACCTTTGCCTGCTCCTGTGGCCCTGGCTGCTCCTCCTGCATTGACCCACCTCCTGTTGGAAAATGGGATGAAATGAGGTGTGTCAAAGCCACCATGTCCCCAAAGATGGATCCTTGTGGGGACAGTTTCCTTTCATTCCTGCCAAGCCTTGCTTACTACCTTCTCTAGCAACCAAAGATCCTTGTCAGGAGGGCAAAGGCCACAATCATTTGTGTCATTAGAATGTCTGCAGGTGTGTATATCCATCTAAATCATAGAGGCTTTGAAGAAATGTGGTGAGGGTTACAATGGCCTCTTTGTTTTTCTTTATATTCTTTAAATTTTTTTTAATTTAAATTTTTATAAGTCCGTAGAAGGTGTGTACGTGGCCTCTTCTTAATGACTGAAAAAAGAGCAGGTGGGCCCCAGAGATATTTGCCCTCCATTCCTACCTGGGCGTCCCTTCCTATTCAAGTTTTTGCTCCAACACAGGCTCGTTATTTATAATTTTGCCATATGGCCGAACCTGACAGGGAGTGGTCAGTGGAACAAGTGCAGGGAAAATGGTTTGCAGCAAGTGCCTTCTTCAAATCAAGCCTCCCTTTTGTCTCTCCTTGAAAACATTATATTAGAGGATTTCACCAGAAAGAGGGAGAAAACAGTGTCCTGCTGTTGCTAGGTAACCAGAAAACATCAAACCCAGTCAGAGCTGACATTGGCTTGATTTTCCCTAGGAACCTGGCTGCTTTTGCTAAGTACTTTGTGTAGTATTAACGGATTTGTTATTAACAGCTTAATGGTGAGGCTGGAGGGTCTCCTTGATTCTTTCACTTTCTCCCCCCACCCCTTGCCCACATCGGTAAAGTGCCAAATACATTATCTGAGGCTTGAAGTCAATTCTTGACTTACAGATATTCTGAATGAAGGTGCTCCACAGAAGCAAATGTAGTTGATTTACACATACCTGGAGTACGTACTGTATTTCCCTGATCTTCGCCCATTTTTAAAAACAGATGGGCACCCCTTTTTCAGCAGTAGCAGTGGTTTAACATCCCATGAATGGTAACCCGTATTTAGTCATAGGAGACATTTGTGCACACAATTGAACACATCTTAATGATATTGATGAAATGATTTGATACAGATTATGTTCCTTTCTCCTTGGGCCTGGCCATTCTGTGGCTGATTATATGGGCACTGCATTTCCTAATCTTACAGAACTCTGACTCCAAGACTTGTACATCTCAGGCAGGCTCCTATAACCTTTGCTGTCTCTTTTTTGCAGATTTGGACACTTCCCAGACTGAGTCCCCAACCCCCCACGATTCAAATTCACACCGCCCTCAGCTGCAGGCGTTTATAACAGAAGCAAAGCTAAATATACAGACAAGGACGATGACCAGACAAGATGGGGAAACTGGAGATGGAGCCAAAGAAAATATTGTTTACCTCTAATTGTGTTGTCATTTTTCCAAACAAAACAAAACACTGGCACTTTTGGGAGAAACTTTTTTTTTTTCCACTCCTTATGTATGTGTGATCGTCTGTGTCCAAATTACTTTAAGGATAATATTTAATATTTCCTGCAAATTCAGTGTTTGGCATGAGTCTAATTAAATTATTGAAAGCAGCCCTGTTTGTATAATCTTTAACTTTTCACATGTAATTTCAGATTTCTGGTGGAGAAACTAACTTGAATAAGCAGAAATATTTTAAAAGTTGTTTTGACTCTAGGGTAAAATTCCATGTCAAATCTTCTACCCAGTCATCTGGATTTCAAGATTCCTTTTAAGATCTCAATGAAGCAATTTGGATTTAAAGAGTGATATTCATCAAGGGGTGAACTTTCACAGTCAGGGCAGTTGCCTCAGTGCCCACATAGACAGAGGAGGATGCGGGAAAGGGCTTTTCTCAGCTAGTTTTTATGTGTTCATTTCTTCTGGGAACATTAAAAGTGGTGATCTGTTACAGTCACTATTCAACTGGGCACCTGTTGTGATTGGTCAGTCATTGAGCCAGGGATACAGTCCGGACTTGCTTAGGACCTAAGCCTAAGGCTGGTGGGGTTTCAAGACGCAGTTCAGCATCATCTTTTAACAAGGCCCAGAGGCCCAGAGCCCCCAGCAATCATTTTGATGTAAATAGTGAACTTGGTTAGAGCGCTCACATCTGTCAGCTGGCCTGTTCTGCCGACACCTGGAGTATCAACTACCACTGCCTGGAAAGAACCCTTCCCTGCGGTTTTTTCAGGGGAAAACTGCCCACTCCTCATGAAGCTGGCTGCCTGGATACACTTTTCCACAAAGTAAAACTGGCATATCCTGCCTTTCGTGTAGTATGGCTCTCTGTGTGAGAAACCAGAAGATATTTTCATCTTGTTCAGAAATACTTGTGTATTTTGGTGTCAATAAATATCTTTTACCTCATTTTACTTTGTAATTTTAACATTATGTGTAGGACCAGGGTAACACACAACATATAATCTCCCCTCATGAAAAGTGAAAATAAAGGAAGACTATTAGATTCATTCAAAAATGCAGCGCTTACTAGGAGTGAGATGTGATGGGAACGGAAAAATAAAAAAAGAAAGAAAACCAACAAAACCGATCACAATCGTTTTTCCCCCTACTTAAAGTTGTTAAGTTGGATATCTACATTGTTTTTGTATTTAGGCAAGTCAAATCCTAATTTTTAAAAGCCCCTTTTGGGGGCAGTCTTTTTCTGACTTCTGCTGCTTCTGGCTATTTTTGTCACAATTACATTAAAAAATTCAGTGACTGATCTTTTCACAGAGTGGATATAACTTATTAAACTTCTATTCAATCACTTCACCTCTAAGCTGAACTCTTCAATTACAACATGCATCTCCCATTCCTAAAGATATCTGGAAAGATCTTTCCTCTTTCTTCAACAAAGTCTAGTCCAGAATCCTTTATCTCCTGAATGAAAAGTATTTAGATATTTCCATCTAAATACTTTCTCCAGTAACTATAAATATCTTTCCTTTCTTCAGGACATTATATATAGAAATAGTGGAAATATGTTAAGATGTTCAAAATCCTCATGGGGTTCTTTCTTTAAAAATGTGTGAGCTCAGTGGATTTTCAAGACGTGCAAAACAGGTCTGCATGCAGTTCCTCTGGGAAAGCCTGAGCATTTTTAAAGTACCTATATTCATAGGTTCCTCTGGGCAATTCTCTTATTTAATATCATGACTTTTCAATGGCATAGAACTACATTTCAAAGCTTTCTCCTTTAAGTTCTTCCTTTTCACCGTGTCCCCATTATGGAATGAATTCAGATCCTGCTATGGTCTGAATGTTTGTGTCCCCCTAGATTTATATGTTGAAAACCTAATCACCAATGCATTGATATTAGGAGGTGGGCCTTTAGGGCATGACTAGATCATAGGATGGGGCCCTTACGAATAGGATTAGTGCCCTTATAAAAGTGGCACTAGAGAGCTGTTTTGCCCCCTTCACCGTGTGGAGGATGCAGCAAGAAGACACCTTCTATGAACCAGGAAGTGGGCCCTCACTAGACATTGAACCTGCTGGTGCCTCGACCCTGGACTTTCCAGCCTTCAAACTTTGAGAAAAAAGTTTCTGTTGTGTGTAATCCACCTAGTTTATGTAGCCCTAAAATCCTAGTTTGTTACAGTAACCCAAACAGACTAAGGTCTCAAGACAGAGTCACAGAGTGACTCTAGAACAAATTTACTGATCTTAAAAGGTGACTATACTATTTTCCAGAATCATAAGTGAATTTTCCCAAAAGGACCTACTTTTCTCACCAAGATAAGAGCTTAAAGGAAGCATTCAATCCTTTAGAGATTTGTCCTAGAAAGAAAAGCAATGTTTTTGCTCTGTCCTTCCAGGCTGTATGAATTTATTCACCATTTCATTTAGAGTCCAAGCTACTCTGCATTTCATCAGGACTATATCACTCCTGGAATCGTGCAACACTTCCCAGCCCACTCACAGCTGATGCCCTGTTCATTCAGAAAAGGGTAACAGCCCTTGCAGCAGAGGACTTGCTGTGTGTGTGTGTTATGTAAGGTGAAGAATGTGAGAATAATTAAGTCATGGAATGACAAAGAAGTAGAGAGGAATATGTTTTTCTTCCTGTGACCTAGGACCACCTTTCAAACTGAGAGCCAACTGAGATTATTGATGTCCAGTCCTCTTTGTCTCTCTCATTGAGAGGCAGCAGAGCATAAGAATTGAAAATATGGATGCTGGAACCACATCTGCCACTGACTCATTGTATGTCCTTGGCATGTTACTTCACCTCTCTCTGTTCCCATTTTCTTATTTATAAAACAGGGATGACTGCCTTATGGAATTGTTGCAAGAATTAAATGACTAATATATGAAATATGCTTAGAATAGAACTTAGGGCATAGTAATCACTCAATATGTGCTTGCATTATTATTATTTTTAAAAAATCTGTTAATAGGCTGGACGCAGTGGCTCATGCCTGTAATCCTAGCACTTTGGGAAGCCATGGTGGGCTGATTGCCTGGGCTCAGGAGTTTGAGATCAGACTGGGCAACATGGTGAAACCTTATCTCTACTGAAAAAAAAACAAAAAAACAAAAAATTAGCCTGGCATGGTGGCATGTACCTGTAATCCCAGCTACTTGAGAGGCTGAGGCAGGAGAATCGCTTGAACCCGGGAGGAGGAGGTTGCAGTGAGTTGAGATCTCACCACTGCACTCTAGCCTGGGCGATAGAGTGAAACTCCATCTCAAAAAAAAAAAAAATCTGTTAATAATTGCTCAGCCTAGTCCCAGTCTTTAGGCAGATTGCTTCTGCATAGCCAGAAAAAGTGAATAGAAAATTCACATGTCTGGAGATTGCTAGACATAAGAATGGGGAAAGTTAGGTAAGTTGAAAGTTAGCTTTCAACTTATTTGCATTTCTAAATCTCCTCTTAACTCCTGTATTCAGTAAACATTTATTGACAGTCTGCTAAAGGCCAAGCAATTTGTTCAGGACAAAATAAAGATGAATAAGCATGCAAGCTTTTGGAGAAGACTAACACAGGAACAAATGATCCTAAAGTAGAGAGGTGCAAAAAATGATATAGAGAAGTACAGGTTGCTAAAGGGCTCATGGGAAGAGCACACTGGGGGCTAGTAATATGCGGAGTGGAGGAAGTTGTTCTAAAGAAGATGCTTGAGGCTTGAAGGATAGAGAGTGAGAATAGGGAAAGACATTCTAAGCAAGAAAAATGCTATGGCTTGAAGGTGTCCTCAAATTTTATTTGTTGGAAACTTAATGTGAGGTCTTTGGGAGATAATTAGGATAGGATAAGATAAGGTCATCAGAGTGAGACCCCCATGATGGGACTTTGTCACTTTCTAAGAGAAAGAGAGACCTGAGCTGACATGCATGCTCTTGCCCTCTTGCCATATGACACATTCTGCCATGTTATGATGAAGCAAGAATGTCTTCATCAGATGCCAACACCACACTTTTGGACTTCCCAGCCTCTAGAACTGTAAGACTGTAACATTTTCAAATAAATTACCCAGTCTCAGATATTCAGTTATAATAACAGAAAGTGGACTAAGAGAGAGGGAAACCTGAGCCAAAATCTGGAGTTTTGAAACAAAAGCCATGAGAGACACTGCGGCGTACATTCGGAGATACCTAGAACGACTTCTTCCCCTCTAGATTAAGGTGTCCAATGAGAATGTCCATCTGTCTCTGCCTCCTTCAGGCACTCTTATATAACAAGTGGGGGAACATGGAAGTTCACTCCTGTCCTCCTTGGTAACTGATCAGGTTCCAGGCTATGGAGCAATAGTGGACTTTTCCCTGGGATGTTATACTCTTAAATTGTAACCAAACATCCCCTCATCCCCTCACCTTTCCACATCCACCTCTACCATAAAGCAATGTAGGTTCTGGTCAAATGGGCAATTGGGTATCTTCCTGTTTGATCCCAAATCACAAGAAACTAAGAGTGAAAGGGGCCCTGGGATTACCTGAAGATGCTTATTAGAACAGAGTGGACCAGGAGGATGCCTATGGGGTAGATTGATGACTTGTATGATAACCCACAAGGCAAGATTATAAGTGGAGAAAAAAAGAGACAGGTTTATGTTGCTCTTCTGCTTTATTTTTTACCCAACCCTGATGCTGCACATAGCTCCCTGTTTTAATACCACCTAGGGCTGTGTGGAGAATGGAAAAGAATAAAAGGAGGGGAACACATGGAAGATTCCAGAATTATCTTGATTGACATACAGAGTTTGCTCTTTTCTTTCCTGACTGCCTCTCATGCACAGATGTCCCTCTATCAGTGTGAGAGAGGCAGTTAAAAAATATGGAAAAGTCGAACAGACTTGGCCCTACCTACTGGATCTCTCTCAGGGCCACAGGGTTGCACACCACCAGGGGGCACTATTCATGCTCCAGAGCACACATGCTCGTAGATACCAACGTGAGTGGAACCTTGTGGGGCTGTACAATCCTGCGACATTGCTTCTGAGCTAAGTTTGCGTATCTATGAAATGAGAATAGTAATAATATTAGCCACGTCTTGCAGGGCTGTTGTGAACTACTTGAAGAAGCCCGGTGCAGTAAATGGCATACAGTCAGCACTCAAAAAATGACAGCAGTTGTTATATGCTGGGGATGGGGTAGAGAGAAGGCAGGCTTGGGCATGCTCAAGAGTCGAAGTAGCTGGGGCATCACAACTTTAGTTTTGTCCAGCTCATTTTCCTGTGCTGAGAGATGTCGAAGATCAAAGCCTGTTAGGATGCTGTGCTCAGAGTAAGAGCTTCATGCTACTTATTTGTTGAGAGGGTGAACAAGAATCTTTGGAAATCAGAGATCAAAGAGTTGACAGAACTAGAACTAGAACCATGATCCATTACATTTCTTTGCCTCTGGCTGGTGAGTTCAAAGCAGTCAGTTCAACTTAATGACTGAACATCGTTTTGGGTGAAGTAACAAGGGATCATGGTTCAGTGGTTCTGTAGAAGCTTCGTGGCTGAGAAACTTCAACATGCCGTTAATTGAATTCTAGTTGTCTGTCTACCAGTAAAACTCTTTGAAAGGCAGAAAGTCAAAAGTTTTAGATACTACCGGCAGCTATGGGTCTCATAACAATTGCCCAAGGAGAAAGAATGAACTCAGTAAGAACATAGGATTACATTTTCTTTGCTAATTTCACTAGATTCTATAGTTACATTATAGAACTGTTCCTTATTTCTGTAAGAGCCCCAATTTCCACCTTCCTTTGTTTTATGCATAGGTCTGGCAATAAATTTAACTTGGCTCTGTCCCCAGGAAATCCAGGGTTAAACTGTCTCCTGAACCACAAAATTTCAGTCCCTAGGGAAATTTGAAAAAGTTCTCTTGTTCAGAAGCTCAGTTGTCTCCATTTTATTTCATAAATGAGATCTGATTTGTATC